CATCGGCCTGTTGCCCCACATCGCGCGGCTATGGTCTCAGGCGCGAAAGCCCTGGGTGCGCTCGTGGACTGAGGACCGCGAGGCGCCGTGGGACGCCGCGATCCGCGGCAACGCGGCGCTGCAGGAGGCGCTCACCCGCGCGGTGGACGAGGAGCTGGCAGCTCGCCTGGGCGTGGCCCATGGCCACGGACTGCTGGACATCGCCAGCTGCTACGACGCCATGGGGTGGCGGAAGCCGGGGCAGGCGGGCGCTGCGGCTCGACTTCCCGGCCGAGGTGCCGGGGCTGGAGCTGCTGCAGTGCATGGCGGCGCGGCGCCTGCGCCAGTCGGGGGCATCCTCGGAGGCCTTCGCCCCGACACGGTCGGTGGCGCAGGGCCTGCGCTCAGGCGCACGCTTCGCCAGAGCTGTGACGTGTTTTATAATGCAGAAGGTCACGACCACTCACGTGCATCTTTCACATCGGTTGTGGATCGACGATTTGAGCCAGGTGTCTAAGTGTTCCAGGCGAGCTATGCGCGACCGTCTCGTGGCTTGTTTGAAGGAGACCTGTGCTTTGATGCAGAATGACGGCCTCAAAATCGCGGAGACGGCAGCGGCGCAGACTCCCTACCTCAGCGTGGACGTTGGTGGTGGGAGGCGCCATGCCAGAGCAACGCGGACAGCCAGAGTTGCACGTCATCAGAGGATGCATGCGAAGGTTGTGAAGTATACGCCTACAGCTAGAAGATAGAAGCTGACGACGACGCTGGAGCAGCAGGGCGCTGCTGCTGCGGGCGCGTATGCCCATCAAGTGCATGGAGTAGTTGGTCATCGGATGCGCCAGATGCGAACGTTCCTGTGTGGCGCGTCCAGTCCTCGGCTCACGGGGAGATGCGTTACGACTTTGCTGGATTTGCGCGCTCCAGGGCGAGATCCTGCTTGTCGTCTGCCGAGGGAATGTTTGCAGATGTGGATCCGCACGTGGCTCACGCAGCCGACCCTCAGGAGCGGGATCGACAAGACTTGGAGGCAACTCGCCCAAGAGTTTCGGTCCATGGCTCCACAGCTGCGCAGCCGACATGTACGGGGGCCACAAGCAGCGGCGATCACCTACTTACTCCAGGAGGGATGGGAGCCCGAAGGTCCTGCGGACTGGAAGGTGCAGAACGACGGCTCGGAGATGCAGCACCACTGGCAGTTCAACCCAGCCGCCCTGACGGGCTTTGAGCAGGTCGACGTTCCGAAGGCCTTCCTGCAGGAGTACGAGGGCGCAGTGATG